AAACACTAAATATGTGAAGTGGTGAAGAAACTGAACACCATGAAACAACTCCCCCCTCCCCCGACATGCCTCTTAAACCTCTGATGAAAAACGTGAAGTACGTGAAGTGGTGAAGACAGTGAACACCATGAAACGACCCCCCTCTTCCCCCAGCTTGCCACTTATACCTCTTATGAAAAACGTGAAGTACGTGAAGTGGTGAAGATAATGAGCACCCTGAAATGCCCCCCCCCCCAACCTTTGATGAAAAAAGTAAAATATGCGAAGTGGTGAAGACAGTGAACACCCTGAACCCCTCCCCCCTCCCACCTGTGATGAAAGATGTGAAATATGTGAAGTGGTGAAGATAGTGAACACCCTGAAACCAGCCCCCCCAACCTATGATTAAAAATGTGCAATATGTGAAGTGGTGAAGAAAGTGAAAGGGGGGGTTGTTTTTGGGTGTTCACTGTCTTCACCACTTCACGTTTTTCACGTTTTTCATCACAGGTTGGGCGGGGTGGTTTTAGGGTGTTCATTGTCTTCACCACTTCACGTATTTCACGTTTTTCATCAGAGGTATAAGTGGCAAGCCGGGGGAAAGGGGGGGGTCGTTTCAGGGTGTTCACTGTCTTCACCACTTCACGTATTTCACATATTTCACGTTTTTTATCAGAGGTATAAGTTGCAAGTAGAAGGAAGGAAGGGTCGTTTCAAGGTGTTCACTGTCTTCACCACTTCACGTATTTCACATTTTTCATCAGAGGTATAAGTGGCAAGCCGGGGGAAATGGGGGGTTTGTTTCAGGGTGTTCAAGTGGCGAGTCGGGGGAGGGGGAGGGTTGTTTCAAGGTGTTCACTGTCCTCACCACTTCACATGTTTCACGTTTTTCATCACAGGTTGGGGGGGTGGTTTCAGGGTGTTCACTGTCTTCACCACTTCACGTATTTCACGTTTTTCATAAGAGGTATAAGTGGCAAGCCGTGGGAAGGGGGGGGTCGTTTCAGGGTGTTCACTGTCTTCACCACTTCACATATTTCACGTTTGTCATTAGAGGTATAAATGGCAAGCCGGGGGAAGGGGGAAGTGGTTTCAGGATGTTCACTATCTGCACCACTTCACGTATTAGACGCTTCTCATCACAGGTTGAGGGGGGTGGTTTCAGGGTACTCACTCTCTTCACCACTTCACATATTTCACATTTTTCATCACAGGTTGGGGGGAGTGGTTTCAGGGTGTTCCCCCGGCTTGCCACTTATACCTCTGATGAAAAATTTGAAATATGTGAAGTGGTGAAGACAGTGAACACCCTGAAACCACCCCCCCCAACCTGTGATAAAAAACGTGAAATACGTGAAGTGGTGAAGACAGTGAACACCCTGACCCCCCCCCCCCCTTCCCAAAGTTTGCCACTTATACCTCTGATGAATAACGTGAAATACGTGAAGTGGAGAAGATAGTGAACACCCTGAAACCACCCCCCCCAACGTGTGATGAAAAACATGAAATACGTGAAGTGGTGAAGACAGTGAACACCATGAAACAACCCCTCCCCAACTTGTGATGAGAAATGTGAAATATGTGAAGTGGTGAAGACAGTGAACTCCCTGAAACCACCCCCCCCAACCTATGATGAAAGATGTGAAATATGTGAAGTGGTGAAGACAGTGAACACCCTGAAACGCCCACCCCCCTCCCCCCCTTCCCACTGCTCTTCCTGAGAGTAGGCTCTTGTGCTCCTTTACGTCTACTCCGCAAGTAATGGATGGAAGGTGTTCACCTTGAAACTTTTTCAAAATCGCGATGAAAAGATGTCCCTGAAGTGAGTAAAAACTTCATTGCTAGAGAACTTCTAGTAAACTGGAGGTGTGATGAAAAAAAAGGTTGTCGTTAACCTACTCTCAACTTACGGCAGCGGAGCAGCACCGCGAGTACCGGTCGCGACATCTGGAAAGAATGGAACCATGGACATAGAGACGAACATCTTTATCTGGGCAAACATGGGCGTAAGCCGCTGACGGGCGTGGAAAGACTACCGCAATAGGGAGATTGTCAAGGGCTCGGGGCAAAAGGGCGCTACTGTGAAGGGCCAGAATTGCACCAAGGGTGTATAAGAAGCCAGAAGGAAAAGGGCGTCGGGCCCTTGGCGCAAAGCTCCGGGCGTTTCGGGCGGAAGCGACTGCCGAAGTTACCACGAGTGACCAAATACCGGGAGCACCATCATCTGTGACAATAGAGACCGGCCTCTTAGGCGGGCCTTGGCGCCAAGGAAAAGAGGATCACGGCCTAAGGATCGGAAATGGGCCTTATGGCCTAGAATTTTGGGGGCGGGCCTGGTGGATTTTTCTCGAAGGCCCGGTACCACCTGTGATGGGGACCACCTAGGGCGAAATAGGCCCGACACAGGTTCGGGGGAGCAACAGTACCGGGGCGCTACAAAAGGTCCGATTCGCGAGAAAAAAACCCTCCTCGAGTCCTCGCTGAAAACTCTTAGAGGGCCCAAATAGGCTCGGGCACAGGCCAGGTACCGGGACGCTGCAACTTGTTGGCAGCCCCGGAGCACGCGGGAGCGGGGGCACACTTCAGAAAGGGGTCTGGCAAAGTATAAAAGCCGAACCGGGCCCACGACGGGGACACTTCTCGCGAGCATGAGTAGGAGGCGCATAGAGAACGGAGAAGCTCAACACGCGCGGGAGAACTCTAGGCGGGGAACACTTTGGGAGAGCGCGCCAGGAGCTAGCACAGGACTGTTGGCTTGCTAAGCGCACGAGATACTTTCGGGGACAGGCGCTCGGGGGAGAAGGGGGAAGGGCGCGTCCGGTAGTGGGCGGTGAGCGCACGGGCGCACAACATCGTGCAGCCCCACGCACGGACCAGAGCATCGCATGCAATAGCGCACAGCCCCCACGCACGGACCAGAGCAACGCGCGCACGGGACCGCAGCAGCGTGCAACCCCGCGCACGGGCGCGCAACAGCACGCAGCCCCCGCGCAACAGCGTGCAGCCCCCCCACGTGGACCTGAGCACCGCGCGCACGGATGTGCAATAGCGCGTAGCCCCCGCGCACGGACCACACCACAGCGCGCATGGGCGCGCGACAACATGCAGCCCCGCGCACGGACCAGAGCAACGCGCGCACGGGTGCGCAATAGCGCGCAGCCCCCGCGCACGGACTAGAGCACCGCGTGCACGAATGCACAACAGCGAGTAGCCCCCACGCACGGACCAGAGCACCTCGTGCACGGGCGCGCAACAGCGCGCAGCCCCCGCATACGGATCATAACAGAGCGCACACGAAAGGACTTGGGTTCGGAGGATTGCGTGCACGCCTGCGCACGAGGAAGCGGAAACAGGCACCTGGACCAAGACGCGCACACGTGAGGGGCGCGAGGTGTGTAGGGCCATGCATCACACTCGGAACAGGAAAGGTATGAAAAGGGTGCGTGAGGGTGCACAACTGTGAACAGATCAGACACTGCGAAGCGGGCCTTTCAGAGGAGCAGTTTAGACATCAGGTTGGAGACCGGGGAAAGGGCCTTTTTGAGGCACATTCAGTACACTGCGAAGCGGGCTTTTTTGGGGCACAGTCGGGACACTGCGAAGCGGGCCTTTCTGGAGCATAGTCGGTACTCTACGAAGTGGGTCTTTTTGGGGCACCGTCGGGACACTATGAAGCTGACCTTTCGGAGGTGCAGTTTGGACATCGGTGAAAAGGGCCTTTCCGGGGGTACAGTCTGGACTTCCGTGAAAGGGTCGGAACACCGCGAACCGGGTCTTTTTGAAAGGTTACATTCCGAACCGGGCCTTTTTGAAAGGGTACATTCCAAATCGGGCCTTTTGAAGGGGTACGTTACGAAACGGGCTTTCCAAACAGGTACGTTCCGAACAGGGTCGTCCAAGAGGGTACACGTTGAGACGGGCCACGAAGCCTAGTACATCAGGGACCCTTCCAAGAGGCAGGAATCGGCGTTATCGCATGAAGGGATGGTCGCGGTTGATCTCGAGCTTTGGCCTCAATGGGCCCTGGATGCAACTTTTAACACAGAGAGCTCTAGCACGGTTCCCTGGGACCGTCGAGCCCGATATCGCCGACGTCCGATTGGGAGAAGGATCAGGCTCAGAGTGCAGAGGAGATCTGTAGCTACCCAAACTGACTTTCCCCTCCTAGACGAGGGATTTACACCTGAGGCTGGGAACAGTGCGGAGAACCCTATTGTTTTGGATTGAATGAAAATGCTCCTTTTATTTGTCCTGGATATTGCTTCGTGAGACTCATGTGCATGTGGTGAGGGTCAGTCTAAGTCGATTTTTGTGTGCCTGACGACTAACGTGAGCTCTGCAGGTTACAAGAGCCCCGACCAGCCCTCCCGTGGCTGACAAATGCGGCGCGAGGCATAGGGTTTGGTCGGCGTGCCGGCAGAACACTTCTTCTGGTCGACACCGCCTCTCGCCCTGGCTCAAGGACCTCCTCTCGTGGTACACCTCCCGCCGGATCATCGTGCCTCTCGTCAGTCTGAGCCATCTTCCATTGCGAAATGTCCAGGTGCGCCTCCAACTCCTGCAATGCTCCTCCGGGTGGCGGCATCTCCTCCCACGCACGCTAAGGGGATCCTCTCAATCCTCCTCCAGCAAAACGATGAAAAACCACCGGGCCAAGTCCACACTCAGGATATACTCGTTGCTCCTCAGCCTCAAGCATTGACTCCTCCTCCCGCCTGGCAAGGGCCTTTCGTCCTCCTCGAGATGGGATGGTCTCTCTGGCCTTAGGGTCCCTCTGCCCCTCGGGCCTCTGCCGCCTCTCAACCCTAAGTTGTGGTGGCTCTGGTCGTTGAAAGGTCTCCCTCAAGTGTGCCCTGTAGCTGTCCCAGTCTCGAGCTATATCCCTGATCTGACGGGCCAATGGTCTCTCCGCCTTCCTGGTCCATAGAGGTAGTGTCCGCGCGCACTCATCCCTCAATATGTTATGCTCGTGCATGAAATGCTCAGAAGCAGGGATGAACTCCTCCACATTCCCATCTCTAGGCGGTTCGGCATACCGTCTGGTCCTACGGGTGACGGTCTCAACTCCTGCATCCTCATCTCCACCTCTGGCTAGGTCCTCGCCTCCCTACAGATCCGCACGATGGGCTCCTCAAATCGGCCAACTCCCCTCAACCTCTCTATCCTCTCTGCCACCGTCCACCCTATGCGCTCCGCATATCCTCGGAACTCATCCAGGAAGAGCTCTATATTCCCGTCATCATGCACGGGTGTGTGCTCCTTCCGGTGAGACCCATGCCGCTCGTGACCCCCTGATGCTTCCAATGGCCTCCGTGGTGGCCGCGTCTTCCTCCCTCCTTTTGGCATGGTTGTCTTCGTAAAGTCAGATCTGCACAACAGGCGAAGAAGACGACAGACACACATTGGGATAAGCAAACAGGCGGAACAGAACAGGCTCAGGGCAATCCAAGCACACCCATCCAATCCACACATTTATCATCCACGTCCTTCTAGGACTTAACTACGAACATTTTCTACATTCATAGGGTCATACCAAAGGGGTTAGATTGCCTGTCTCGCCTCTTCTCTTGCCACAAACTTTTTCAGCCTTGTTCCTGATACCCAATCCTTCCACTTTATTCCATCCAGCTCCTCAATCTCGTAGGTGCCGAAATCCCCGCATCGCACAATCCGGCAGGGTCCTAACCACCTTTTGTCAAACTTCCTGGATCACTGGTTCTCTAAGGACGAGTCATATAGCAGCACGACGTCCCAACTTTCAATGGTGTCTTTCGTAAGCGCGCCGCCTGATCCCAACGAGCCTCATCGTTCATGCGGCTTTTTTCCACTTGATTGGACGCTTCCTGAATTATTTCCTTAACCACGCCCACCTGTCGTGCCCGAATATCGAGCAACTCCTTGAAAGACAGGTTGGTTTCTAAGTCTTAGCGTCTCCAAGTTTTCAAGAAGCTCTCAATCGGGAAAGTAGCATGTCGTTCGTACCATAGCGTGACTGGCGCGTACTTAGTGGTACTTTTCACCGTAATGTTCTCAATAAAAAAATGCCTCTCTCAGGTACCTTGGCCACTGATTAGGCCTACCTTCAGTCCACTTAGCCACAAGGTTCGTGATGGTGATATGTCTTCTCTCAACAGGAGCATTTGCCTGGGATGTGCTGCCGTGGTATAATTGGCAACCATGTTGTATCCCCTATCCATCACGAATTCCTTCACGAAGGGACAACGCAGGTAATACTCAGCAATGCAGCTTACCAACACCAAACCGGTCTTTGTACGAATGACGCGACCATCTACAAAGCCAGAAAGGTTATCTCGCGCGTTGAAGATGTAGTTGTAGCCATGATCCCCAATTGGCATAAAAAGAAGGTCGAGATGTACTACAACACCCACTTCCCTCTCTGTCCTTGGATGCAGCGGCTCTCCTGACCTCTGAGGGGCCCTTTCTTGACAAGGTATACAAGAGCGACAGTACGTGCTGATCATCTCCATCATCCTATCCCAAGAGTATAGCTCGCTTATTTTCGCATACGTGGCACTAACTCCTCAATGCCCTCCTTCAATGCCATCATGAAACGTGGCTATAACATCGACCTGACGGTTTCTCCCGCATACAACCCTTTTGGGGCGCCCTACTTGCCTCTTTACAAAAAGACGATCATCCCTCACTAGGTATAGATGCCTCATCTTTTGAGCCCTTTCACCAGCATCCCTATCCCGCATCTCACATGATAAGAGAAGTCCCAGCTCCAGGTAGATCCCATTATACTCCTCTGCACAGAACGCCTCTTTGATCTCCTTTTCCTCAAACTCGTCATCCTGGCTCTCCGACACAATATCTTCATTCTCAGTCGGATTCAGTGAGCTTACTTGATCAAAATTCCCCTGCAGAAGCGTACTGACGAGAAGGTACATTCCCCCCATCAACTCCTCGTGCTTTTCTACTTGGGCCGACCCTTCCTCTATCGTTCTCACTTCCTCCACCAGACTATGCGTGCCTGTGAGCGCCAACTTCATTATCCATTGGACATCTTTGTCGCCCCATGGGTCTTCTTCCTCAAAAGGCATGAGTACAAGCTCTACTTTCTACTCATATCCTTTGGGTACAAGCTAGATGGGATGGCCAACGAAATTCAGCACTCACAAGGACCACTTATTGATATGAAGCCGGACGTTGTCGAGCACACGGTCCTCGCTGGGGGAACCTTCCTGGCCGCGTCAGGCAGGATTTGCAGAATTCGCAAGTCGCTTCACGAGAAGGAAAGCGGCAGAGCCGCTCCGGTCGAGTGCGCCAGCTATACCTCCATCGAGTCCCTACGACAGGACAGGGTCTCGCAAGGTACAACTTACCTCCACCCGCGGGAGTTGTCACCATCCCTTGGGTGGGCGTATCCCCGCCGAGCTACTGAACCACACGCGGAAGCTTTTACTTGCAATCACGTAGGTGGCCTAACCGAGGGCGTTTCTCGTATGCTGTAGCATAGGGGGTACGCGTGGTTCACGCCTAGCTCGGACCCGTACGCGAACCGTCACACTGGGGCGCTGATCCCCCACGTGTGGTTCAGTGTCGGTCGACTATGACATCCTAACTCAACCACGTGATACGCAACAAAACAAACTAACTCAGACAAACAAAATAAGCCTAGTCCGTTTTTCATACGTCCTGACCTATAACTCGGAAAAGTCAATGTGTCTGAGCGAGGCCCTCACAGATTTTAATAAAAAGAGTGCAAACACGAAGGAAATCATAACGCTCAGTCATGTGTACTCACTTGATCTGCTGTCATGGTGACGCTTCATGAGTTACCCACATTCATGCACCCTCTCATGGGTTTCGGGATTGCGTTCGACACTCAAGTGTCGAAAACAAAATATCGTGAAGGATTCTTCCTTCACGATATTGCACGGCTGAAGGATAAGTCGTGCGGCCCTTGCGGCGCCACTGTCGTTTAGGCAGTGGGTGACCATAAGTAAGAGGAGTAGGCCCAGCTCAATGGGGAAGCCCTTTTGTGCTGGACCAGAGTCTAGGATGTCCTAGACAAGGACCTCGAATTCCAGGCTCGAGACCAACGTCCGACTAGTAATTTAAAAAGCAAAACTCCTTTGAGATGGGATTCGCTCGTCCCTCCCCTGAGGGAAGAAAATTAAGAGTAGTCGCGGGTTGGCGAGCAATTCGTCATACCCAAACTAAGTCTCGATCCGAACAAAGGTCGAGCGCTAAACCTTGCACTCGACTTCTCCTGCCTGCTCGCTAGATGCGTGCGGCAAGAGCAAAATAAGGGAGAATCTCGGGGGAAATCAGGGAGTGTCATTCTCACAGCCATAGTTGAACCTTGTCACTCACACCTTGTACTCATTCATCCATATCACTCTCAATCCAGGAGTGATTCCTTGCTCCCATACATACCTGCACACACATGAAACCCAATGAAAAATTCACATCCAAATGCCACAAAACGTGGTCAACCCCTTTGCTCCCAGATTCATGTCCCACACGCCCCTTTCCGACCCTCACTCAGCAAAGGTATGCCCGTCCGATCTATTTCACACAACTTCTGCATGGCCATTCAAGAGAGGTTCCAAGGATATGTGTTGTTTCATACGGAAATGCCTTTCGCCTACAGGGTCATAAACATCTGGGCGTGGGTATCATAGTGGGTAGGAGTTGAGTCGCAAACCGACCTGATATCAATCTGATAGCAGAAGTTGAAGAATCTCAAGACTTTGAAGAACACTCGAAGGTAGCAATGACCTGCGTTACAAAGATCAAGGCAGACGTCACTTGTCGAGTTAACGGAGTTCAACTCCGTATTGCACTCTAAGCTACTTAGCAGTAGCGTCTAGTAACGATGTGAAAATCCTGAAAATTTCGGTAGCACTTCCTTTAGAGAAGTATGCGCGAAGAATATTTACTATACTAAATCTCAAAAGAAAACTTGTCACTCTGAAAATATCTGACAATAAACAAACTCTTTGGTTTTAGCTAGGTTACCAACCGTGCGGGGGGTGGACGTCTCCCCCGGACGTCCGAGGGCCGAGTCGTCCGGATTCCCGGACGACGGTTTTTTTGGGGGAAAAAAAGGTCAAAAAAAAAAAAAAAAAAAAAAAGGTCGTCTTGCGCTGGTCTAGGGGACCCCCCATACCAAATTTCACATGAAACAGAGTGTGTTGTGAAATAATTGATACTGGGGGTTGTGGGGCTGGGGGCAAGGGGGGGAGGGGGTGGGGGGGGGCGGGGGGGGCGTAGTCTGGGTGGGTGCGACATGACTTACCTTTTTAGCCTGCTGCTGCCTGCTGCATCTGCAGCACCTGCACCATGAGCAACACATCCTCAAGGTGCATAACGTTGTGCATGTGAAGCACCTGCTGCGTCTACAGGACCTGTTGCATTCCAAGGTACACACTGCACAATGATTCTTTGGCACATCGTGAGATCTATGCTGGTTTAGGTAGGTGCACGTCTGAAAAAGATCATACCTGTTCGCACAAACATACAACAAGTGAGATATATGCTGACGTACCTTATGCCTGCAATGCATACCACCTGCTTCAGGTTATCTCA